TCCTGGGGAAAAGCAGGAGTACAGATATTGACTTCTGTGGCCCCTAAGAGAGATTCAACGGGCTTTGTAGTACGCGACCAATGGACTCGTGGCTTTTTACTAATATATTTTATCTAATATCTCAGAACTGTCTATTGATAAGTAAAAACAGCATCATCTCAAAATTATCTGCTTTTTGTTTGTATTTACTATCACATTTTAAAAATGTGGTAAAAATCAAGTTGATATTGACTTCTGTGGCCCCTAAGAGAGATTCAACGGGCTTTGTAGTACGCGACCAATGGACTCGTGGCTTTTTACTAATATATTTTATCTAATATCTCAGAACTGTCTATTGATAAGTAAAAACAGCATCATCTCAAAATTATCTGCTTTTTGTTTGTATTTACTATCACATTTTAAAAATGTGGTAAAAATCAAGTTTTTACTAGTGTTTTTCAGCTTGTATAGTGGAGACAATACTGTTCTGAATTTCTAAGCTGGACTTTCTTCATTAGCCATTCATGAACAGCTATATTGTTTAAGTAAAGTCCCAGTTATACAGAGTTTCATTCTAGATTATTTTTAGCAAGACCATCTTAAGTTTGACTTTCCAGGCAAAGCGTATGTGGGATAATGTTAACCCCCTCCCAAAAAAACTTCTAATGTCAATGGTTTTGATCTGACCCCCTCTGAGAAATAATAAACTTGAATCCCCATAATTCCACATCTAAAGAATCGTTTTTGAGGAGAACTTCTCTTTAAAGAAACAAAATAATTAATGACATTGTGACTGTAAGTAAGGAAAAGATCAACCTTTTCTATAGTTGCAAGACATATATAAGTAAGTTATTTGCTTTTTTCTAGACAGCGTATTTCCCCCTTATTCGTGATGAGGCTACTCAGTGGTTGTTAATGTAACAGACTCTTTCCTTGAAATTTCTTCACCTGGTATGTAGGAGCCATTTTTAATCTAAGTAAATATGTTAAATTATCATTTAATTATTTCTTTAATATCTTTAGGGTGGAGAGCACTGCTACTACCATGGGTACATCAGAGGTGTCCAGAACTCCAGGGCTGCCCTTTCAACATGTAATGGACTTAAGTGAGTTCAAATCTTCATTCTTGCAAAGAGATTGCTTGCTACGCTTGGATTCCTGTGCTTTGGGTTTCATCTCTTAGAGTGAGCTAGACTAAAATTCTTGAAACTGTCAAAGATTGTTGGCATCCTGAAATACAATCTTGTTTAAAAAATAATGCTTCAGTCACTCCCCTCGAATACCCTCTATCAACTCCTTGCTGGCCATGCTCAGCTATGGAGTTGGATTGGCATTGCAGTTTTTAAACTGATTTTTACCCTCCTCCCTGTCTATAGATTTTAGCTTTTGGTTGATGACTTCTTTATCTTTTTAGGATTTTTTTTCCTTGTTCCCTTTAGTTCTTCAGTGTTCTGCAGTTTCTTCCTCAAGCCATGTTCAGGACTGGAATAACAGAAATGTTCTAAGTCAGGAATGAGTTGTCTTGGAAAGACAACGTGGGGAAGTTTGTACTGTACAGAGCCTGTCTTCTGTAAATCTTGCTTTGACCACTACTATTAATTTGTTTCTAAGCACGAGTGATGCTAGAAATTGTTGGTTCTGTTTAGCAAGACACTTGCAGATTGTAAATACCTAGACATATATTAATCAAGGTAGCTGATTAAAACGAGATCAGAAATAAACAAAAATCAGACTTATGATGGTTTCTTCACTAGTTTTAAATGGTACAATTGGATTTGTTTACCAAAGACCATAGGTTGGATTAAAAGTATTCCTTAGTACTTGTATCGGTCCTACATTTCTTCCTTTTGCTTTCTAATGTTCCAGTGGCATGTTTGAAGATAGCACCTATGTTTACTTCATAGAACCAATGGATCTGACCCACAGTGCAGTAAGTTCATAATTTGTAATATGTTGGATTTTGTTTGTCACGGGACTGCATAAATGTCATTTCTGACTAGTGGCTTGCAAATCAGAATGATTAAAGATTTATTTTTAATTCTATATTTAAACTTAAATTTTCTAATCTTATTTCCACTTTCAATATGGAAATGAGCCATCAGGGTTTAGAAATATATTTACTCAAATACCTTTTTTACATTCTGAGCCTGCTTTATTTAACTTGAGTCTCTTTAATTATAGGGTTCGTCTAGACTGGCAAGATTTTGCTTTTGCGCAAAAACTTGCCAGCTGTCTACACTGGCCACTTGAATTTGCGCAAGACCACTGATTTTGCACAAGAAACACTGATTTTGTACATTACAAATACTTTCACGCCCCCGCTCAGGAAAAAGCCCTCTTGTGCAAGAATACTTGCTTAAGAGGGCCAGTGTAGACAGGGAAGAATTGTTTTGCGCAAAAAAGCCCCGATGGTTAAAATGGCGATCGGGGCTTTCTTGCGCAAAATCGCATCTAGACTGGCCACGGATGCTTTTGCACTAAAGCACGTTTTGCGCAAAAACATCCTTGCCAATCTAGACGCACTTTTGCGGAAATACTTTTAATGGAAAAACTTTTCCGTTAAAAGTATTTCCGCAAAATCATGCCAGTCTAGACTTAGCCATAGTGTTTTTGTACTATTGGACCATGTACTAGATTAGGAAACCAAGCCAAAGAGGGCAAGTTATTCACCACACAGACAATTGGTTGCTGAGGCAGGGTTAGAATAAAGAGGCAAGAAGCCTGACCACCAGACCCAGTGAGAGACTTGTGTTACCTCTTCTGGCCCTGGAGAAGGATACAGCATTGTTAATTGGGAGTCTGTAACCTGTTCTGGAAGAGAGTTCTCTAAATAAGGCCTTCTACAACAGACCAGTACATCGTTCTGAACAATGCAAGCTTTTCTGTTCAGATTAATGTTCCAAGAATCCAATGCTTAGGAGTTATCCTGATAAAATTTAATTAGCAACAATCTAAAGAAGTTACATTTATGTCAGTGGATATTGCTATTTCATTTTAAAGGAAAGAACAGATAAAATGTCAATCTTTCATTTCATTTGGCATTGTTAATAAGAAAATGTTTTTGTACATTCTTTTTGTTTTAGAAAAGCACAGGCAGGCCACATGTCATCCAGAGGACTTTAGGAACACAAACTTCAAAGCAGATGAAGAATGTTGGTATGTATTGTGTGGCAAAGTTCCAGCTATTCTCCATGGGTCTTCTAATACTGGCAATTAGTGTTAGCCTCAGATGCTCACTGTGGCCCTCCACACAGCCTCTTTCTCTTTACTGGAGACAGGAGCCACAGCCTACTGAGCCATACTCATCACAGGCTAGTTCCTAAGTTTGGGGTAAAATCCCCTCTGGAATCCTGATCTCCCTTCTCAAGGCAGATTTTGAGATGTCATGGGGAGGTTAGGGAGAACCTGGGCCCACCCACTACTCCAGGTTCCAGCCCAGGGAACCTAAGGCAGTGGCAAGAGGAAGGGTTACTGCTATTTTTAATTTAGCAGCTTTTCCTGGGCCACTTCCTCAAACAATCCCTCCTAGTAAATTTCCTTTGGTATCTGCTCATCATTCCTCAGCTCACACCAACAGGCCTTCCTGTCCTTCGTTCATTCCCTTCCTCTCCATGTCTTTGCCTGGGGGAGACCTTTTAAAGCAGCACCAAAGGCTTTAATTGGTTACAGCTGTCTAATTAGCCTGTGGCTTCTAGCAAGTTCTTATTGACCCCAGGTGTCTGCCTGATTATGCTGGATTTAGGCTTAGACTTTTGTTTTTTTTACTCAGGAAAGAGAAAGCTGTTCATCCAAGCTCCATGTATTCCCTCTACCTGTGAATGGCAGATAACTGGTCTGGATCTGTCACAACTGATTACATTATATTTTCAGAAAAAAACAGCAAGCAAATGGTCTGGTAGCACTTTGTAGACTAAGAAAAACATGTAGATGGTATCATGAGCTTTCGTGGGCACAGCCCACTTCTTCAGATGACCAGAGTTACGATTAGTGGAAGCTCCATTTTATTTTCAGTAACGGAAATAATTGTAGTTGTAATGTAAATACAATTACAAATGTAATTTAAATGTAATGTAAATACTGAGTTTATTTCAGAAATGTTAAAATTGAACTAAAATGTTATCACTTATCACCTGTGTTGAGGTTCGTCTGACAGAAGAACTTTAATCAGCTGCTATTTTTAATAATTAAAACTTTAACCAGCTGCTATTATTTTATGATTGTCATTAACAAATGAAAGAGAAAATGCCACATTGTATGGTCAGGTCTTAGCCTCTTTGTTCCTTTTTAGTGCATGTTGAATTGTTATTTTAAATCTGTTCACATATTGTTACTGATGTGCAATCCTTAAAAGTTGCAGATTTTGATGACTACACTGCAGTTCACCTTTAAAGGAATATGCATGAATTAGATGGTCACAGTCCATTTCCCCCTGGATAGGTTATCGACATTACAGTGATTTCTAAAATGTTTTATTGAATGCTCTTTGGATTTCACTAAACTTTTTAATTTTTCTATCTTCAATTACAATGTACACACATATACCTATATCACTGTAAACAGTTTCCATGTTTGCAAGGATTTAAACTCTGTTTTTCTTCATAAATGTTTGAGTTCTGTTTTATTTTCTTCAGAGGCAGAATCAAATTCTGAGTGGTCCTTCCTGTCTGAGTTACAGTGGCTGAGGAAAAGGAGAAGAAAGAGGGCTGTGAGTGTAAGTGTGTTTAGACTAAGCTCTGCAGTGCTGCATAAACTTCTAAATTCTTTAATTAAAAGTGAGCATAGCTTCTTAGCAAACAAAACCTTTTGAAGGTTTGAAACAAAATTTAAAATATATGACTCTTATTTTTATAATGCAGTACTGTGTTCAACCAAATGATGGCATTATATTTGCACCTAAATGTTCGGAGTAAAATAGGTATAATATATAAATATTATAATACCATTACTGTGACAATAATACCATGTACCATTTGAACCAAAATTTGATAGTGAAAGTGTGATTAAAATTTTAATGGTTAGTAAGGTCTGACAATACTGTGGACAGAGTACAGCCCTGGTTGAAGTCTGATTACTATATAGAAGCCCTAATCTGTGATCACATGACTAATTAAATAGCATGTCCAAAAGCACAAGTAACAAATGTGTGATCCAAAATTATTATGGTCTGAAGTCACCATTGTGGTGTCCTGACAGATATCTTGCTGCAGTCACTGATGATAACTGTTTGACTGTGTGTGTGTACTCCCCCTGTGTGTTGCACTGGCTCTGTGCAAGTACCCAGCACAGAAGACTCCAAGAACACACTTCGAAGACCACAAAAATCAGATACAAGATGAAGGCACCAGGTCAGATTTGTTGTCAGATGAGACACTGCCTCTAGCTCCCTAGCTCAGATGTCGACAGTTTTGCTAGTACATGAGTACCCCCTGCCAATAAAATCAGCTCAGTCAGTGATAGGATTTCCCACTACCCCCTAGGCTGGACAAGGGCAACCTCCTTACAAACCAGTTACACATCACTCCTAACATATTAAGTTACCACCCTCCAACTTTACCTACATACCATCCATTATCTTGTACATGGTGGTTTGATCAAAACATTCCTATCCATCATGCTGTCATTTTAGACCCTGGCCTAAACCTGGACCCTGGCCTCAACCTGGGTCAGTATGTCCATGTTATCTTTGGAGAGTGTGTTGGTACTAAGATGTTTCTTAACAAGGTGTTCCATTACCATCCCTCTAGAATGTGTTTGGCCAGTGCATAGTACCTCTTAGGTATGAGTGTTTCTGTGATATCAGCCCTGTTCTTCCCAAGTTAGATGAGCAGGGCCTGCCTCTTGCTCACAGCTTAGCTTTGCTTTTTGTCAGCAAAGCCTTGATCATTCTTGCCTAGGCCTCAGGCCTCACATCAGGCCTGTGTGCTTGGAACTTCTCTTTCAGGCCCTCATCTTACTACACTTTTGTCTTTTATGAGGAAGCTGTTTACTCATCATCCCAGAGAAGCATAATGTTTGGATTGAATGTGACCTAGTGGACTAAACACTTACGTGTTTACTTTACCTTTCTTTACAATCCTCGCATTCGTGCCCCATCTGTTCCTTAGTCAGCACATTCCCTCATACAACTGATGGACAGATTTTATTTTTCTATTGTTTTTAGTCCCTTATGGTGGTCCTGTGAATGTTAGGTCTGGGACCATAATAGATACGTGGAGTCTTGTTGGGAGTGAGCTGTAACATGGCAGTGCTAATAGCTCCTTCCATTCCTTTCTTTACACTAAATTGTATTTTGGCTTTTTTGGTTTGTTGATGCAAAATACCATTCCAAGTAAAGCAATAACTGTTATTGCCTGAATTCCTTTTAAGAGTACTCTTAGGGTTCTGACTACTGGATGAAAAGTTATATCATCTGGACTTGCTCACCAGGTTTTTTACACTTTCTGTTCCCTTGTTGGATAAGTTGGAGTATGGGTACCAAAGCTTCTTTATTTTGTAGTTACCAAATCATGTATATATAACTGTAATTGTTCCACTAGTGGAAAGAGTTCAATTAACACATTATGCAGGTGTCAAGGAGGAATTATTGTTTCAGTGACAGTGCTAGCACTGCATGTTAGCCAAAAAGCATGGGCTCCTATTTGGATTGTACCCATAACTGGCACACAGAATTCTGTGTCACTCGCAGGTCATATGTTTCCTGGTATAGGGTACTTGGAATATTCCAACACTCACACCGCATCTTGTATTCAATCCACCTCAGTAGCTAGTTTCTTTTGTACCAGTTGAGCCCAGCCTCTTTTTGTGTTGTTGATATCAATTGTGGCTTAACACTTGCATAGCCACCATCCTTGAGCAACAAACTTGATTAATTTCCAAGCCCACTTCAGTAACTAAACATGTAGTGAGAGAATGCTGTATGTATTCCTTACCAAAGTTCCCACATTATATGCGGGATTGTGATTGGTTCTTGTGTCCATCTTGGAACAGCCATCTTGAGGTATATGGTTTTAATATCATCATGATTCAGTTTTGATACTTCATTAAATTTGGCAAATTGTGAAATTATTGGAGCAATGCGATTTACTCCTTGCCCTGTATTTGTTTCAAGTTGGCTGTGCAAATACTAGACATTTGTGACCAATTTTGTAATTGAAGGTGCAGCAGATTTTCTAATTAATTTGATTACCTTGTCCTCGCAAGCAGCTGCCAATTAAATATCATTATTGTCTAGGCTGGCAATAATTAACAAAATGGTAATATTTAGGTGACTAAATCCTTGGGTAAGTAGCTGGATGTTATCCAAAGTGATACCTAATACCTCCTCTTGTTTTCATTGATCTTTCTATTCCATTAACAATATTGTTGACTTTTAAATTGAGGATTTCAGTGTCTGAAGAATTCCAGATGGATATGTCAGGGCTAGAGCCACTCCATACAATTTCCATTAGAACTCTTTTTTTTCTCTTTGATTTTGCAGAGTATTTTGAAAACCCTTTCATTATTGTGCTTGTGTTTCAATTTGCAAATTGAACCAATGTTTGCATTGTTTGGGGTATTTCATTGGCACAGTCATGCTGGCACAATCAAGCTTCAGTGGCACATGTACCTATCCCACTTTTTCTGCCATATACCCCCCAGTAGGATGTAAAATATTCCTGAGGTGGGCCACAGCTGTATGAGGGACACTCCATTGGAGGAGTAGTGTCAATGAGTAGAGTGGTAAGGGATGGGGTTAGTATTGGAGTTGGACAAACTCCTTCACATGCTTGCACATGGTAGACACATTTAATAATACTTTGGTCCATAGACCAAGTCCTCATGTATGACTCTGTATTGTTTTAATTAGGTCTGGAATGTGAATGGTGACACTTCATTTATTTTATAAGTTAACAAAGCAGTTTGTCCAATTTGCATAGGTTTTTGGGATTCCCTGCAGAGGGCTAATGATGGGGATCCACTGTTCAGAACTTATCCAAAGCCATCTTAGTAACTTCATTTGTATGTGTTTGAATATCACATAGCAAGTTGAGATTTTCCCCCACTATCACCGTGGTGTGTAGTTCCACTATTTTATTTGGTGCCACAAAACTTGTTTCATTTTTGGAGGTTCTCTTTTATGTTCTTTATGTATGTGATTATGTTCAGTATATATTTTTACATTCAGGAGTGTTACTGCAACCTACTTCTAGGTTCGCAGTGAAAATAGACTGATCATTACCGATAATGTCAGCAACCATCCTACAGCAAACATATTTTCCCTGTGTCTTTTCCAGTTCTTTTTCAATTGGCCATCAAGTCTTACAATTTCTTGGACAAGAATTTCTTGAGCTTGACTCATATCTTCAACAGTCAATTTCTATCCCATCCTAATGTTGAGCTGTGATGATCTGTAGTTAAGTCCTGCTTGTCAGCTTCCTTCTGCTTCACACAACAACTTTAGAGTAGTCCTATTCAGGAGTGATGTGTAATTCTGAACCTCCACCTGGTCTCCACCAGCAACATCCATGGTGCCAGACCAGTTAGTCCAAGCTGAGAGAGGTTCAACCTGTAGTTTAGTCTGCATTTCATTATGTTTACTTATATGTGAATGACTATGTTTGTGGCTATTTTTAGCTTTCATTAATATTACTTCGTACTAATTTGTCTCTGTGAGATCAGCTTTGTTCTGGGATCATACAGCACAATATTTGGGACTTCAAACCCTATCTATTTTAAAAAATCACTTTTCCCTATATCTATTAAATATTGCCAAGGGATTCTAAAGTTGTTTTCAGGGTCTTTCTAAATGCTAAATTGTATGGCAACAATAGCCTTTTCTGTAAACATTGGAAAAAGAGGTTGGATCTGAATTTATTCTAAATGATATGGTCCAGATCCTAAGCTGATGTAAATCCATGTAACTCCACTGAAGTTAATAGGGCTATGTTAATTTACATTAGTTGAAGAGATTTTTCAACTCTGGCAAACTTACTCACATCAAGTAACATTTATGTGAGTAGTACTGTTTAAGCTGGTGAGCTATACAAACTTGGCTCTCCCACTGCTACTAGATAGCTAGACCAGCTGCAGAGTTATTTTTAAAACTTACCATCACTGTCATTTCTCACAATGTATTTTTAAATCCAACAGGCATCTCGTGGTATATTTGAAGAAATGAAATATCTGGAGCTCATGATTGTCAATGACCATAAAATGGTAAGGATATTGATTCAGTGGTAATCTTCCTTGTGATTTGATTCAGAGGTTGGTCTATCTATGTCTAACATTTTGTATTGCATTGTATCTGAGTTATCTCACTCTGGCTCAGATTTCTGAGTGTGGAAAGAGGATCTATACCCCTGGTGGGGGCAAGATAAGGTAGCTGTGTGTAATAGGGAAAATAAATTACATCCTTTTTAAGGACTGCAGAAATTCTTCCCACAGAGCAAGAGAGGAATGGCATGACGTGCTTCTGAAAAGTGTATCTGAGGCACTATCTCCTGGTACTACCCCTTGCTATGCTAAAAGATACAATGCGGCTCATAACAGTTAATAATAATAATATCTCGCATTTTAGACAGAACTTTAAGTAGTCAAAGTACTTTACAAACATTAACAAACTAATATTTATATTAATGATATAGTAGGTATTATTGGTGTTCATATGTGTGTGTGTGTGTTGTGCACACACACACACACACACACACACAGAGCTACACTTCAACTTGAGCAGGGGGATTTTGAGCAGGGGGTGCTAAAGGCAATGAGGGAAGATTCAAGATGAAGATTCAAGACAAATTCCCCAACCCTCTATCCCCCAATCAACATATCCAAACCCTCTGCCCCCCTCTTGCACCCATACTCCCTCCCAGATCTGGCATCCCACTCTCCTGCTCCAGATCATAGATCTGGACAGAGAACTTTGATGCAACCATATTTTATGGGAATACACAGATACACACTGTGACAGACCCATGTAATCAAGGCATGCAGGCATCTGTGGCCAATTAAGAACTTGCTTGAAGCAGCAGACTAATCAGGGCACCTGCAGCCAATTAAAACCTTCTAGGGCCAGTTTAAAAGGCTTGCATAAGAACAGCAGTACTGGGTCAGACCAAAGGTCCAGCTAGCCCAATATCCTGTCTGCTGAAAGTGGCCAATGCCAGATGCCCCAAAGGAAGGGAACATAACAGGTAATCATCACATGATCTCTCCCCCCCCCTTTTTTTGCTCAATAACTTCTCCTTCAATCCCCCCCCTTTTTTTTCAACAAAAGATCCTCGGTGTTCCTCATAAAAAAATGATTGTTTGTTGTTCCTCGGTCTTAAAAAGTTTAAGAAACACTGGGCTAGGGACACCACTCCTACCCATCCTAGCTAATAGCGATTGATTAACCTAACCTCCATGAATCTATCTAGCTCTTTTTTGAATGCTGTCTTCACCACATCCTCTGGCAAGGAGTTCTACAGGTTGACTGTGCACTGAGTGAAGAAAAACTTCTTTTTGTTTGTTTTAAACCTGCCACCTATTAATTTCATTTGGTGACCCCTAGTTCTTATAAGGCTTCTCGGGAAAGGCAGAAGAAGGTCAAGGACAGAGAGTGAAGAGATACACTCCCAGCCCTTTGTTCTCTCAGTGTGATAGGTGCTGTGGAGGAGAAGGAAAGATTGCTCAGGTACTAGGGATATGGTACTAGAGGGATCATTTGGGGAAGTGGCCCAGGGAAAGGCTGCAAGACTGGGAGTGGAGGAAACGCTGTCACTTGCTACTGCCTTAGGGTCCCTGGGCTGGAACCTGGAGTAGTGGGCAAGCTTCCCTCCTCCCCTCCCCCTTGTGCTGCCTCTGATATTAGAGGCAGCAGCACAGGGAAGAAGAAGCAGATGAAGTCAGTGTTGCCAGCTCCCCATGAGCATTGGTTCCTATCTGCTCCCCCACCTCTGTGGGAGGCAGCTCCGCAGAGAGGGCACACATGGGGAGCCAACTTAAAAGTTGGCTCCCCACGCGTGTCAGCTCCCACCTCCCTCCCTCCCCCATGCTGCTGCCTCTGATAGAGAAGCAGCAGCATGGAGAGGCCAGGTGGCTCTGCGGGGGCCAATACGTTCAGACAGCCGGCTTGAAGACAGCTCCCTGCGTGTACCAGCTCCCACTGTCTCCTACGCCCTGCTGCCTCTCCATCAGAGGCAGTAGGCCAGGTGGCTCTGCGGGGGCCAATACGTTCAGACAGCCGGCTTGAAGACAGCTCCCTGCGTGTACCAGCTCCCACCTGTCTCCTACGCCCTGCTGCCTCTCCATCAGAGGCAGTGGTGTGGGGGTGGAAGGGAAGGAGGCGGCTCCATGGAATCTGGTGCTCATGAGGAACCTCTGTGTCAGGGTGGGGGAGTTTGTGTAGTTGACGGGATTAAACGATAAACCCAGGTTTATCAGTTGATTTTGTAGTCATCTACAAGTTAACATCCCTAGATTAAAGAAACAGGCTGAGGCTAGTAGGATACAGCGTAGAGCTGTGGTGTCCCAGCCATTTCTGAAGCAGTAGACACTATAGTAGCTACTGCTATAGCGATCTAGCCACACTCAACCAGCCAAATAGCCACATTGTTAATGCAAATAGCTTTGATATTTGGGCAGTAAGATATGCATGTGAAGTTATCTCTCTCTTTTTTTTCCGCCTGGAAAATTCATGCTTATAAATAGGCAGTGTAATGAAATGCACAATAAATCTTGCCATTGGATTAAGCAAGATGTATCACGTTTATGAAGAATTCAGCTCTTATTTCTTCTTTTCCTCAAGGAGATATTGAAGAAACTAGATCAGCTGACATTTAAATGTTACTTCTTTCATTAATTGTGCCAAGTAAGAGAGATTTATCAAAATGTCAGTGCCCTGCCAGTTGAGAAGATTAAATAAGAAAGGTGAGGCATGGGGAGTAGTATAGGAATATGAGGTCTCTCAACAAATGTTGTGGAGTGTATTGAGAGATTTCCCCAAATCTCAGGTTACCTATGGGTTGAATAAATCATTCACTCTGCCTACCATGTGGGGCCACAAACTCTACCCATCTAGTCCCCACACTAGCACGTTATGTACCCTCAAAACTGTGGAGTTTTCACTTTAACTTTGATCCTCCTGCAGGTCAGTAGGAGGGCTTGATTTGTGCCTCAGTGTTCTGTAGAATGGAGATGTTTAGAAGGGAACAATTTTGCAAATTTCTGCTGACCTGGTTTACAGGCAGGGTTTTTTTTTTTTTTTTTTTTAGTGGTACCTGTGCCCGTAGGTACGTGTCTTTTCAAGCACTTCCGTTTCAGAAGAAACAAGCAGCATGTACTTGTTTAAGCAGGGTTATGTTATCTGAATTTTCAAAAAAGAGGACACCTGGTGCCTGCAGGTGCTGCTGCAGCAGCAGCTGCTCCCCTTGCACAGCCGGGCAGGCTTGGGAGCCAGAAAACTCGTCCTTGCACACGCCAAGCTCGGGGCTCTGGCCGCCGCCTTACTGCTGCTGGGGCTGCCACTGCCCCCACTGGCTCTTATGGTGTGAGGGAACACTGCGTGCCGGGCTCTCGCTTCCCCGATGCACTGACCTGAAATGTGCAGCAGCGCAGGCTCCAGTCGGAGCCTGGAGACCTGATGATTAGGGAAGAACCACAATCCCCATTATGCAGTACCAGGGCCCTAGTACCGAGCACAACCAGAAACCCGGAATTGCTCTTGGCCCCAGGCCGTGTACCACCAATACCCTAGTTAGTGCTGCCTCTACCCAATGACAAGTCTGACAGCGGCCAGGAGGAAGTCATGGTCCATTGTCACTATACAAAGACCCTCCCCAGTTCCATCGAGCCAACCCCTAATCGTGGAATGGGACCCCTGGGGTAACCCTCTCATCCATATCTGCCCCCCATTACTTTATTGCAATCCCTGGGCAATATGCACATACATGGTGATCCCATCTGGTGTCTCTCAGAGAGGATACACCAGATGGTCTCCCACAGCCTGGCTGTCCAGAGCCCCTGAGCCATTGGCGGAAGAAGCTTTTTCAGAGCAGGAAGAAGGGCTTGAAGAGGAATCTGTCTCTCCAAGAAACTTCTTTATCTCTACTAGATGAGGCTTCTGCCCCTACCCCATCACTAGGTGGTGATTTTAAGAACTTTCTGGATTTTGCCAACAGAGTGGCAGATTCCCCTACAGGATACACATCCCAGGTTGGGGGATATTCTGCACAACTTCTCCTCATCCAGAATTGCCCTCCCAACTAATGAAGTGATTCTAGATTCTACCAAAGTTGTCCAACAGGTGACTCCATCACACCAACCGGCAACAGCAAAAAAAAACCCCAAACAAACTATGACCAAAAAACCCCTAAAACCGCATGTCCCTCAACGTGGCAGACTTCTGTTTCAACACCTGCCACCTAACTCCATTGAAGTGGATGTAATTAATACGTGAAGCAAGCAACACAATGCCAACAGTGCCCCATACAATCGAGTTTGGCAGGATGGATTATTTGCCAGTGACATAATTGCTAGAATTGCAAAATACCTAATACGATTGTATTAATTATGGGAAATTCATAGCATTTCTGGAACATTATTGGAGATACAAAAATAGCAATTTCAGGCCATCCTTAGAATCCATTAATAACAAGATTGGTGCTAAAGATAACACTGTATTTAGCTGACAGATCAGCCTGTTTAGTTTTAATGACAATAGTACTGAGGCAGGCATCTTGACTACTACACCTTTCTGAATTGCCTAAAGAGGTGGAGATGACTTCCAGTTTGAAGGCCCTTTTGTGGAGAAGACAAATTCTTCTCTCCACATCCTGAATTCCTGGACCACATTACTCTCCCTATAAATATACATTTCAGGGAAGAAAAGAAGATATACCTATCAGCTACACAATACCCACCATCTCAGAACTGTTATGAGCCATAGTGTAAGAGGACCAAAGCTCAAAAGTTGAAGCTGTCTGCGTCCCAAATCACTCTCTCTCAAAGCACCTCTTCAAAGCACTTTTCATGGGGTGGTTGAGGGCAGAAGGGAACTTGGGGTAGGGGATTGGAGTGCAGAAGGAGATGGGGGGTCTGGGAGGGAGTTTGGGTAAAGGAAGGGTTTGTGACGTGGGGCAGGGCATTGGGGTACAGGAGGGAGTAAAAGCGACGAGGAGTCCTGTGGCACCTTACAGGAGGGAGTAGAGCATCCAGGAAGGGTGTGTGGGTGCAGA